GAGGCTTCATAAAAAAAAAAGACATGTACATGCTTATAACAATGCTTACCCTAAAGAGACCTCACTCAAAGGGTCAATCGCCCCATGATCAAGCAGGGGTTTATTCTAGCAGAGCTTGTGATGAATGAGGTTGCCCCTAGAGGGCTAGATTGAAGATTCACACATACTAATGAATTTGTCTTGAAGGCTTGCCCTAAAGAGTGTTTGCCCTAAAAAATCTTGCACCACCACAATGAATTTTCACAACAAAGACTAACATCCTTTAGTGGATGATACAATCAAAGCTGCAGGAGGCATTGTCATAGAGAACTTCTTAATTATGATTTCATCTGTCTCTGATTCATAATCACGTTTGCCCAAGGACTTGTTTTTGATCCCCAGGGACTCATCTTCACATACGTACACTTGATACCTTCTTTTGAGGACTTATTTATAGCACATGCCCCCGAATCAACTTAATTTATATGTGTGTATCAATTTGTATCTATCTTATTATGTACAAATTTTTAATTTTTATAGGTATAACATATATTATTATAGCATCGTTAACTCTATAAATAAGGGGATAATAGGAATGTTTTGAATTTCATACTACTTGATGCCATATTATGCTATTTCCACTATTTGTAGATATCTTTAAACTTTTTTTTTTACTCTTTGCACTAACTAATTTTCTCACTTTGTTATCTCATTCTAACATGTTAAAACTTGTTTGTAGGGTTAGTGTTGCCCATGTACAAAATTGGACCCAACATCCTTTAATGTGCAATGAGCACAAATTGATGTTAGTGACCATAAGATATGCATTATTTGAGGTACAACAAAACTAGGAACATATATCAACATCACAAACTAGAATTAAATATACAACCCATTCCAGAGAAAATAATTACTAAGATGATTCAAGACATACTAGATTGAGTTCAGACAAATGCCCTAAAGGAAAGTACTCCAAAATAATCATTTGATTTGGTTGTTCATTGAAAAAGGCTCCAGACTAGGATGTTGGATTCAACATTTGTCACTAACTCAAGTTACAATCAAACTAGTGATGACAAATATAACTCACTACCCATCTGAGTAAAGAAGAGGGATCCATAATTGATCATTGCAATTTCAAAGGAAATTGAGAAAGTATAACCAGCCATTAAATTTAAAATGGCTCATATGGAGTCATATTTGGGAAGGTTTGACCTTACTGACCACATTGCAAAGTTTAAGTTGGCAACATCATAAAGAGAAGCCATGACACATTAAAATGTTGATTGTTCCTTATACTTTCAAAGAGTCATTCGTTCGGTGGTTTTGCAACCTACAATTTGGTGCTATCACCACATTTTAAAATTTCAACAGGATACTCATTACACAATTTGTGAGCACTCAAAGGACAATCAATAGCTTGCAAACTCTTTTAAAAATGAGGCACTAAATATGCCCTTTATCATCAAGTTCCAAAGAGAGATGTATGACTATTCTTAGTTATAATTTTATACTATAGTGAAAATATTTTTCTTACGAGTGTCAAATGAATAATTATTCACACTTTAATTTTATAGAGGTCATGCATGAAAATATTAAAAATTCCAAAATAGACATTACTGTCAAATAACTACTCTTATGATGTGATATTTTATTTGGTTTTTTTGCATAGTCTATGTTGTGTTATGATGACCAATTTATTACTTTTGCTTTGATTATACTTTTAGATAAAGAAAATTTTGTATGTATAATATGTTATAGGTAAAGGTTCCTAATTGAGTACATTTCTAAGATCAAAATTCAATAATATCCAACACTACCCCAAGTATCAAACTTATATGCTTGAATCAAGTGGCAATGACTAGGAGTGAAGGACTTTCCTTGCTTGTACTTTATTGTCAATTTATTTTATTATAAAGATTTAGGAGTTGGGTTGTATTTAAAAGCTCAGTTTTTTTTATAATATTTAATATGATTTTGTATAAGTAATTGCCCAACTACATTGGCCTATTTATTATTCTTTTATTTTTTTCACTTCACACAATTCTCTTGTGTTTATAACTTATTTATAGTTTAATGTGATGTATTTCATCATATACTTTGCTTTAGTTTTTCTTAGAATCATACAATTTTTTGTGGCTTCTTGTGATAAAAATATTCTACCAGAATAAATAGATAATCATACTTGAAATTTATTTAGGAAGGGATTCTCTTAAATTTAAGGCTATTTCTCATCAATTCAGCTAAAAATTATTCTCTTTACATATCTTAAATGAGTAACTAAGTAAAGCTAGCCAACGATCAAAATCCCCAATTTTTGGCTCACATTCATAATATGACTAGTCGAAAGCATAAAAAGCTCCATATATTTAAGGATAAATTACTTGTATGAATATCATGTTCTTTAGGATAAAATTCCTATTTATAAGTAGGAATTTTAGTACACGTAGGTGCCATCTTAGTATGTTATGTAGTGGTTATCTTGATCCAAAAAGGATTAGTAAGACTTATTTAGTGGTTTTTCTTTTATATTATTGGGCTATCTCATTCTCTGTCTTTTTTTTTGCTAGTCCTTATACCACCAAAGATTGTAAGTCCAACATCATTCTAATACACCTCTTGGAATTCATCAATCTTGGAATTTTAATTTTTTTTTTAATTTCAAATCATTAAGCCAACTCTAGATAATATACTTCATGACTGTTGATAAAGTGTCTCTTTTAGGATGGATCAATTACATTATAGCTAAGTGATTTCAATTTTGATAGCCAGGGATGATGGACCATAAAGTCATGACTAGGTTTTTATTCTTCTTTTTCTAAACTCTTTACCTTAATCCACCATCTTTTTTTACCCCATTATATTGCTCTTAGTGATTAAAAAATCATACATAGGCCTCTTATGTGTATAAATAGTATTCTTAGTTGATCATAATGAATTACCCTCTACCTTTTGGACCAACCTATCTCAAAGTATAGATTGCTTATTAAGATAACAGACTTTGAATCATAGTCTTACTTGATGTCAATCTAGGATATATCAAAATATAAATATAATTCTTTTATCAAGAGTATCTCTTGGATGTCCCTCTAATATAATTCAACTTAATTTTCCTAGTATCTTTAGGAGATTGAATAACTCCAATTTTTTACTTGACTTGATTTTGAATTTGATGATATAATTTCTTGTAAATTTTTTTACTAGTAGAGATAAGATTTATTAGTCATACTCCATCAAACCTCTTCCCATGTATCTTCTTCTGAAATCTCCACTTCAAAAAGAACACTCACATATCATCATCATTTTCGCCCTCAATAATGAGAAATACAAGTATGATCTTTAATTAAGGGTTGTTGATTAGGAGGAAGACAAGCTAATTTTTTGGAACATAATAGCACAATCATCATGTAATATAGTCTTAATGCACTATGATTTCTTAAGGTCAAATGAAAATTTTCTTTATTGATGTATTTGCTAGTATTATATAAGATATGTCTTGTCTATGATTGTTGTTAGTTTTTTGGCAATTAAGAATATAACTTGCCATTTTACAAGGATTACTTAAATGTAATATATGTCATTACTTGTAGAAGATCTTAAATCTCTTAGATCATTTTAGTGAATATAAACTAAATTAATAAAAATGATTGTCCATCCCTCTTCTAAAGCTATAAATGGCTTCATAAGCTCTTTCTTTAAATGTACTAAGCATTGAACTTGCCTAAGAGTTGATGATTTAATTTTTTTAAAAGAATCAGTGTTGTTTTGGAGTGGTTGAGTAAACCATAAGAAAGATACATCTTTTGTTTATGGCTGTTAATTAATAGTTCCCTATAATAGATAATATTAAAAAAATAATGAAAAGGCATAGTAGCCTTAAATGTTGTAACTTGTTTAGCATAACTAATGTTGAGCTTAAAGCTTTCTAAAGGGAGCATCATGAATGTTATAGATGATGGGTCATATCCATGAAAACATGAATAATGATAAAAAAAGAAGGGACATAATAATCAATTAAAATAATAATATAAAAGACCTAAAAACTTACCAAAATCTCTATGAAAGAGGAAGCCACCAATAAAATTATTAAATTGAATCAACCAAATATAACTTTCTAATACAAACCACTCATTCTTTATAAGAATTTAAATATATATCCATCACATTATATAAGAAATCAAACTAAATTGAAATTTCATAATTTATTCCATAAATGATTGTTAACTTGCTTTATTAAAAAGGTACTTGATTAAACATCACAATTTCCTTTCTACCATTGGAGCTTTAATGAATATTTGACTGCATATTGGAGCTTGTCTCAAGCATTATGACTTATAAGAATTTTGTCCATCCCTCACTATAAAGAGAGTATATAAAAGAATTTCATTCATGAAAGGATCCATAGCCTAATGGTTGGAGAATGTTGCTTCTCCAAATTCATAAGTTCAAGCCACACATTTTACAATTTATCGCTCATCATTATTAAAGAAAAAAATATTTCATGATGATAAATTTCTTTCCTCATTGTTTGAACCTTTAGTAAAGATGATGCCACATTCTTGTCATAAAAGAAGTACTACTTCTTTCTATGTTTGCATAGCGGCAGTAAATCTTGAATTCTTTTCAAAGTTGAATTATGATCATGAAGGTGATTAATTCCTTCTATGTAAAAGAAGATGATGATGAGATTGCAACACAATGATGTTCAAATCGGCAAATTATACATCAATAGATAAATATTCAAATTTGCCATAAAATAGCTCATTCATATTTTGTTTCATTTCAAGCTCTATTTAAGAAATCTACTCTAAAAAGTTCAACATGATAATATGGTCATGCAACTATAAATGTCGGCATCATATGAAACCACCTGAATGAATCAACATGACAACTAATATTGCATGTCTATTCCCATATGAATCAATTATGACCAACTACTAGGATCAATAATTATTAGAGCTTGAAATATATTGACACACACATAAACATACATTTCTATTAATGTAATTTTTTTGGTGACTAACTAATCTAATAAATAATCATACAAATTTTTGTACAAATTAAATTTATTTAATTAATAAGAGATCCCAATGACCTAATCATTAAGAAAAAAAAGCAATTCTCAAGCATGAAATTAAAGCTAACAACACTATAATTACTATCCTTAATTCAGCCCATACAAATTCTTAATGAGCAAAAATGCAGGGAAACTTGGAATTCTCCTCAGTCATATCTTACCTAAACCTCCCTTTAAAGTCAAAACACTCTTTTCCGTTCTCTGTCCTTACACACAAACTTTCAGCTCAGCAACCTTACATTCTTTCATTCCAAAGCTCCTTCCTCGATTCTCCAACCAACCTTACCCTCCTGAACTTAGTTGTTGCTTCCAATCCCCTGCCAAATCTTCAATTCTCTTGGCCCACAAAGCTTTTTTACTTTCTTCTCGCTCTATCTCCTTTCTATCTTGGCTCTCACCTACTAATTTGTCCATTTCTCCAAGATCACTCCATTAGTTTTTAAATTAAGCCACCGAGGCTCTAAATTCTCTTTCATCTTCTCCTACCTCCTACCTCCCCTCTCTTCATCATCATCTTCATCATCTTCTCTTCTTCACCCACCCATGAGCAGCCCACAAACATGGCCTCCTTACACTGCCGGCAGAGACTGCTCCCTGGGCTTCTGCAGCGTGTACTGCCCACAGTGGTGCTACTTCTACTTCCCTCCACCCCCTCCCCCTTCCCACTCAAACTTCACCCTCTCCCCCCTTCTCATCGCCATCATCGTTGTCATCACCTCGGCCTTCTTCATCGTCACCGGCTACCTCATCGCCCTTAAATACTGCAACAACCAGCGCCGCCGCTCCCTCACCTCCCTCACCTCCACGCCTCTCTCCTCTTGGCTCCCCCCTCCTTCCACCGGCCTTGACGCATCCCTCATCAATAAACTCACAATCTACCGCTACCGCCACGGCGATTCCGACATCCCCATAGCCAACGGAGACCGCGACTGCTCTGTTTGCCTTGGCGAGTTTCATGACGGCGATAGCCTCCGTCTTCTCCCTAAGTGCAATCATGCTTTTCATAAGAGCTGCATAGACACGTGGCTAAGCTCTCATTCCAACTGTCCGCTCTGCCGCGCCGGCGTTATCGGGCCGGTTGAGTATCTGATTGAGGAGAGTGAAGAGGAGGAGGAGGGTGAGTTAGCGGGTGAAGTTGTTGCGGTTCATGATTTGGAAGAGGAGCGGGAGTTGTCGCAGGAGAGAAGAGATGAAGAAGAAGATGCTGATGATGTGGTGATTGAGATAAGAGACGAAGGATATGAGGTTAGGATGGCCGGAGAGTCGTCGGCGGGGAGGAGTTCGGTTTCAGTGAAGAGATCTCCCCCTCCTACTTCCACCGGTAGCAGGGGAGTTGACTTATTGTGATTTGTATGAAGATAACTTTTTTTTCCCCTTCTCCCTTTTGAGGGGCTTGATTTTTTTCTCTTGAATTATTTTTTTTTTTTTTTTTTTTTTTTCTCCCTAAGTGCAATCATGCTTTTCATAAGAGCTGCATAGACACGTGGCTAAGCTCTCATTCCAACTGTCCGCTCTGCCGCGCCGGCGTTATCGGGACGGTTGAGTATCTGATTGAGGAGAGTGAAGAGGAGGAGGAGGGTGAGTTAGCGGGTGAAGTTGTTGCGGTTCATGATTTGGAAGAGGAGCGGGAGTTGTCGCAGGAGAGAAGAAGAGATGAAGAAGAAGATGCTGATGATGTGGTGATTGAGATAAGAGACGAAGGATATGAGGTTAGGATGGCCGGAGAGTCGTCGGCAGGGAGGAGTTCGGTTTCAGTGAAGAGATCTCCCCCTCCTGCTTCCACCGGTAGCAGGGGAGTTGACTTATTGTGATTTGTATGAAGATAACTTTTTTTTCCCCCTTTTGAGGGGCTTGATTTTTTCTCTTGAATTGTTTTTTTAATTTTTTTTTATGTATAAATATAATCATATCATAGGAGAAATTATTACTTGTGGAGTCCGAGCATAGCTAATGCACGAACTCCAACGAGATTACACAATGTCGCCTGTACACAATAGTGTGTACAACTTTGTACAATGTGTACAAATTATACACACTACTGTGAATAAGTGATATAGCGCAATTTCATTGGAGTCTGGATGCATCTGGACTCATTAATAATTTGTTATCTCATAGACCTTGCCAATCCATGTATGATAGAAAAGTTATTGGGTGGAAATATTTCGATATAAAATGCATTAGGATTAATTTCAAAGTGGCCTTGATTTTATATTATTATTATTTTATGATATTTAGATCAATTAAGATAAATTCATATGCACATCATATACGTAAGTTTCGAACATAGGATCTCTTGATTGGCCGTTAAAACTCCAACCAGCAGATCAATATGAGCTACGTCTATGATCAAATTTTAACACATAGAAGCCCATTCTAATATACATGAGGATTTCATCAAACAATTTTTTTAATACATAGTTTATTGGAAAATAAGTAATCATTAGAGGTTAAAATGCATCATAATGAATTCTAATACTGTCCTATTTAATATTAAGATTAGTTTAAAATAAAATATCATACACAGTGCTAATCTTGATGCAAATCTAATAACATTGAAGCACGTTCTAAAATGTAAGAGCATATCATTGAATAATTTTTCTAATAAATAATGTGCAGGATATTAGATATTATCCCATTTTATATTAATAATAATATAATTTCGGATATTATATACAGCATTAATTTCAATATAAATAAAATAACTTTGAAGCTTATTTTCTAATACATATGGGGATTTCCTCAAATAATTTTTCTTTTATATAATATGTGGGCCAATGAGTGATCATTAGGGTAGTTGTGCGACTCACATCAAAGCTAAAAAAATCACTCACAGTTCTATAGGAATATGATTATGACAAGGAGTAATAATTTTCATTTAAAAACTTAATAATATTTTCAAAATGCGTGAAAATCGACCTAAATTGGATCTAAAATTTCAGATTTTATAACAATTTTCTTAATGGTTATAAGCCTGAAGGATTTTATAGTTATAGCAATTAATATTGGTCGGTATAAATAAATAAAACAAATATTTATTTCTCTAAAGTTTTTTTTGAGGCAGCTTTCTTATTAAAGCATTTTTTTTTTAAAAAACCGTTTTAAAAAATAATAAAAAAATCCTTCCAAATGAAATCAAACTCATAAAGTATTGTTTATAATAATAGGCAAATTAAAATATTTTCAAGCCTTATAAAATTTTTGAAATTTTGCTAAGTGGAGAAATCTTTAATTAAGACTTCATTTGGGACAGCTTTCTTACTGCTTCTTAAAGAAATTTTTTAGTACAGAAAATAAAAATTTTGCACTAAAAAGCAGCTTTAAGAAGCAGCAAGAAAGTCGTCCCAAATGAAGCCTAAGATGTAGATTTGATAGAGATTGATATCTCCCATCTCCAAGAGATTCTTTTAGGAATTAGAAATAGGTTTAGATGCCTAACACTTAGCTTCTGCTCAATAATCTTTGGAATAGGAAGACTATCTAATATTTAATGAGTTTCTAGAAATGTATGTATGATAATTACTCTTCCAAAAAGTGTTTTGCCAAAGATGATGAACTTTTAATGGAAGATTTCTATTAAACATAATTTGGTTAAACTAACAAGATGAGACAAGTTTAAGTTTAAGGAAATAAACCAAAATGAGACACAATGTTTGATCATGTCAAGTTAAAAAATATAAATTTAATATTTTCCCTCAAATATTTGAATTTTATAATTGAGATATCATATTTATTTTAAACATTGGATTGAGATTTCCAAAATACCATTTAGTAGTTTTTGTCTACTATGGGGTTTATTTATTTATTTACTTGAAGAGATCTTGTAAAATCTTATAATTAGCTTTGTCACAACTCATCTTGTCATAAATTGCTTATAGAATAGGTCACATTATGTCAGATTGTAATAGAACGGATTTCCCAAGACCTATTTAGAGAGATTTTTTAGTTTTTTACGATTATTTTGAGACTACCCAACCACTAAGTGTAATATCTCGTATTTTAGCCGAGTTAAATGTTTTTCAGGAGTCACTATATGCCAAGTTTGAAATCCGTCTTTGCGACAAGATAATTATTATTGTGCTTTAATTATATTAAAGTTTTTGTAATTTTTTAGCATTAGTAAAAATCCTTAAAAAATTAACACCTATTGGTATAAGTGGAGATTTCGGGACTGTTAGGTGTCAGTTTTGTAAACTGATTTCACAAAAAAATTTTAAATAAAATGTGTTATTTTATGAATATTTTCCTACAATTTTTAAAGTAAAAAAAAAGTAAATAAATTTTATACTAAAAATTGTAAAGTTACAAAGTTATTAAAGTTTTTTTCCCTTCTCATATTCAATTTTCTTCTCTCAAATTTGGCTACAGAGAAATGTAAGCGAGATTTAGAGAGAAATGTGAGGAAATAGAAAAATAAATTTAATGTTTGGAGACTATAGAACAATTTTAGTAGGTTGGTCCGATTGGGAGTTTGCTTGCCTAGCTGTAACGAAGCAATATCATATTTTATATTTCAATAATTTTGTATTTTTGATATTTTTTCAATCAAATTTTTATTTCCATTACTAAAAATGTAGATAATTTTATATTGATAAAATTTTCACCACATAACTTTTTTCTAAGGATAGAAAGATATTTGACAACATATAGTCTTCGGAGAGCCGAAAGGTATCATTAGCTATGTTCCCGTTTGAAAGGCAGGGAGATTGTGAGTTTGACAATAGAGAGGAAAATTCTAGGGAATAATCAATACTGAGATCACTTAGGATGAGTTCACTACAGTATTCATGATGTACTTTGTACCTCTTTCAGCCTGACGATAGATACATGAAGCTTTTATCAAGTTAGGGCAGGGAGGCAAGATAGTGATGTAGTGTGAGGCCGAATTTACTGCTTTTATTAGGTATGCTTCTCACTTGATTCCTACTGCCGAGAAAAAGTGCTATAGGTTTATGCAAGGGTTAAATAGGGAGTTAAGACATCCATTAGTATTTCTACGGATTCCAGAGTTTTCTGAGTTGATGATAGTGATTCGAAGGGATATACATCGATATCTTCTACTGGCAACTACATCAAGAGTATTCATTATAGTCGATGACATTCGGGTAAGATCTACCTATTGACTGGATGATATTTTCACTATAGACAATAGAGAAATAAGGTATTAAACTATCCTCGATGGGGATTTGGAGGAAGAAGTGATTCTGGTGCATGATAGTTTAAACATACTATAGGATAGAAAATAGTAGAGTCCAGAGCATTCACTAAAATATAAGCAGGGCAGATGATAGAGCTATAAGTATAGTCAAGGGGAGACTATTGTACCACGATCGGTAGCACCAACTCTAATGATGCCATGTGAATACAACTTATAGTATATGGAAGATTGAATATAACCTGAAAGTTCTACTGTTAAAAAATTTATTTGAATGATTGAATGACATATATAATATATAATACATAAGTGAATGATATGTAATAGAATGAATTGCATTACTGTATGATTTTTGATGAGTTTTGATTATATGGTTTTATTTTATATTGATTCTTGTATTTGAATCCTTAAGGAAAATATCATGGATGATATTTTTTGTAAGGTGTGTAGATTGTAATAGCTCATATTTTAACCTAGTTAAAAAAAAAAATTTAGGAGTCATTATAAGTCAAATTTAAAAACTATCTTGGCCAAAAGATAGACATTATTATACTTTAATTATACTAAATATTTCAGAAATATTGGACATTAATAAAAATCTTTAAGAAATTGACACCTATCAGTATAAGTGAGGATTTTGAGGCTGTTAGATGTTCGCTTTGCAAACTTATTTCATCAGAATTTTTTAAGTAAAATGTGTTATTTTCTAGATATTTTTTTATAATTTATAAATTCCCAAAAAAAATTATATAAATTTTATAATAAAAATTGATTAAATTATATTAATATTATATTATTTTATTATAAAAGAAATATCTAAAGTCACTAATGTTATTAATTTTTTTCTCTTCTTAAATTTGGCAATAGAGAAATATAAGGGAGATTTAGAAAGAAATGCGAGGAAAGAGAAAAATAAACTTAGGGTTTAGAGGTCATAGTGCAATTTTTGTTAGTTGGTTCATTTCAAAGATTTGCTCATCTCATTGTAAGAAATTATTATCTTATTTCTGATTTAATAATTTTATATTTTTGATTTTTTTAATCAAATTATATTTGTGTTACAAAAAAAAATGAGAATAATTTTATACTTGTAAAACGTTTACCGCGTAATTTTTATATGTTATAGAAATCATGATTATAAATATTTTCAATATTTATTTATGATTTTTTTCTTAATGATTTTAAAAAGGTAGCAATTTTTGCCAATTCAAATATTTATTTTG